ATTCCAGTATATTATTTAGATCGATATATGAAGATATAGTAGCATGATAGTACTGTGTTCTGTTATAACACGGTGATTTTCTACATTTGCTCCCACCGGGAGGCCGGCAACCCTATCAGGCATCAGTTTTGCTCCACTGTGTCAATGGGGGCTTGGTGGGGGTGGGGGGGGATCATCAGTGTCTTTAACTACAAGGAAAAATTAATGTATGAAACCGGAGTTCTGTTGCTGGTGGTTTCAGTTCTCTGGGTGGAGGCGAAGAGCCTTGATTTGGTCTGCAAGTGAGAAAGGTCCATTGCATGTGTGTTTGGGGGGAGGGGGCGTAACTCCTACCTGAGTGGGAATCAACCACAGCCCCATCCTAAGACCCTGACGCAGGGCCAGTGTGAGGCCGGGGCTGCTAGTGGGTATCAAAGACCCCCCCCAGCAGAAGAGAGGATATTTTTAATTTTTTAAAAAATCAGTTGCTGAGGCACAGAGAGGCTAGCAAAGCCACAGGTGTTGATGGAAACACCACCAGTGCCCATGAGTCACAGCAACAGGCAACTCCCCAGGGACAGGCAGAGAGCCATGTCCCCCCCCCCATATCAGCCTGCCCACAGCTAGGCCAGGAGGGACAAAGGGCACCTGGGAACTCATCGCTGTGAGGAGAGGTTAAGTTTTCCCCTACTAGGGCCAGGGCATTTTCGGTGGCGGCTCCTACCTGGTGGAATGAGCTCCCAGAGTTCCACACGGCCTGCAAGACGGAGGTCTTCCGCCAGGCGTTTGAGTAGGAGCCGCTGCCACCAATATCCTACCAACGAGGTAGTATGTCATCGGCTGCCCTACGAAGATGGGACAGTTATGCCCAGGCTGAAGTTTTGACAGCTTAGCGGGGAGACCGCGTGCTGGAAATGGCTGGCCACCAAGTTGGAAGATCGTCCCCACTTTGGCTGATGACGTAGCACTGTGTTTTAGGTCGCTTATTGTGTTTTAAATATTGTGTTTTATTGTGTGTTTTATTGTATTTTAGATTCCGGCTTCGCCGCTTGTGAACCGCCCTGAGCCTTTGGGAGGGCGGTATAGAAATCGAACAAATAAATAATAAATAAATAAATCGTGGCCTCAGCGACAGGACCCCTGTAGTAGGAACACGAGAAGAACCCTGCTGGATCGGATCAATAGTCCATCCAGTCCAGCATCCTGTCTCACACACTGGCCAAACCAGTTCTCTGGAGGGCCAACAACAGGGCAGAGAGGCCTTCCCCTGAGGTTGCCTCCTTGCTCTGGGATTCAGAGGCTTAGTGCCCGATTGTACAGGTTCCCCTCAGTCACAGGAGCTAGTAGTTAGACTTACCCTTCATGAGTCTATCTAGTCCCCTGTGAAAGCTGTTTATTCCTGTGGCCATGACTACGTCCTCTGGCAGCCAACTCCACATTTTAAACACTCTCTGTATACAGAAGTATTTCCTTTTCTCTGTCTTGAACCTCCTGCCCATCATCTTCATTGGATACCCTCCAGTTCTAGTTTTTTTGGGAGAGGGAGAAAAATTTCTCTTTGTCCACCCTCTGTTGTGGCAGGACACCGCTGTGCAGAAGCCGTGCTGGTTTTCCCTCAGTAGGCTTTGTCCTTCAATGTGCCTAACCATTGATTCTGTCTTTGATTACAGATTCTACTAATATGCCTGGGACAGATGTGAGGCTGACTGTCCTGTAATTTCCTGTTTCTCCTCTGGATGCAATTTAAAAAGAATTGATGTAACAATTGCTCCTCTCCAGTCTTGTGGTACGGTGGCTGAATTTCGTGATAGGTTACATCTACGGGTTAGTAGATCTTGCATCCTTAAGAACTCTCGGGTGTGTGGCATCAGGACCTGAAGACTATGTGGGCCTCCTTGGTAGATGTCTACAATAGTTCAAACCAGTCTACAATAGTTAATTTAGCACAAGGACATGAACCCTGATCTACAAACCACAACAAGGCCTCTCCTTCCGATTCAGCGGGGCAATCCTGGGTGTGTCTTCTTGACCAGGGTTGGTGATGTAACTCAATCTTCTTTAGGTTTCCTTCTGCCCTTTTGATATATTCCCCTCTCACTCTTTATACCAAGTAAATAAATTGATCTTTTTGCAGGTGGAGGTGGCCCAGCAGAAGGGGGAGGAGATGGAAGAACAGGACCCAGAAGGACCAGGAACTGGCAAGAGAGCACGGAAAGACCCCCCTCCCATCCAGGCGGGGAGTGGTGCTGAACTCTGGAAAGGAGCGGTGTCAGAGGTCCTGCCTCAGGAGACGGGGATCCCAGAGGAGCATCGCCAGCGTTTCCGGCAGTTCTGCTACCAGGAGGCTGCTGGGCCCCGAGAGGTTTGCAGCCAGCTCCACGGACTCTGCAAGCGCTGGCTGGAGCCGGGGAGGCACTCCAAGAAGCAGATCCTGGACCTGGTGATCCTGGAGCAGTTCCTGGCCATCCTGCCCGAGGAAATGCAGGGCTGGGTCAGAGGATGCGGGCCGGAGACCAGTTCCCAGGCGGTGTCCCTGGCCGAGGGCTTCCTCCTGAGTTGGGCAGAGGACAAGCGGCAGGCAGAGCAGGTGAGGGAGCTTCATGCTGTCCATTCAAGCTGTGACCTTCAACCTTAGCCTAAGGCCCCCCTGCCCGATATGTGTCCCTCCAGACACGTCACCGGGGCTGATAGAAAATCAAAAACTTCATTCTCGCCGCTGTGGTTCAAACAGCTCTGATGATGGGTGCAGGGGCGAGGATGGACAGGGGCAAGATCTGTCTCCTTGGTTTTTTGTATTCCTCCTCTTACGTATATCCCTTCCTGCAGTTTCAGATGTGGGGACCGTCTGTGAAGATGGGAGTGAAGTTCTCTGAGGAGGAAGGACCTCCTTTGGAGGAGGAGCAGAAGGCGCAGGCCCAGGAGCGTTCCCAAGATGCCCTCTCCCGTGGTAAGGGTGCCTCGTGCCCAGATTTGGGCACATTGGGAATTTGTTAAATACAAGGTTCGGGACAGGAGAAAAATGGAAATATTTCTGCACACCACACAGAGTGGACTGTTGAGATTCAGTGCCATAGGATGTAATGGTGGCCACTCACATGAGGGGGGAATTATACAGATTCATGGAGGGCAATTCCCTTCTCATGGGAACACAGGAGGATATGAGAGAAGCCATGTTGGATCAGGCCAATGGCTCCTCCGATCCAAGACTCTGTGTCACACAGTGGCCCAAACCCAGGTTCCATCAAGAGGTCCAACAGCAGGGCCAGAGCTCCTTAACCCCTCCCGCTGTTGCCCCACAAGCACCAAGAATACAGGGAATCACTGCTCCACACATAGAGTTCCATCTATACCTTGTGTCTAAGAGCCACTCGTGGACCTCTGCTCCAGATGTTTATAGTCCTCTCGAAGCTGTCTAGACTTTGTAGGCGCCACTACTTCCTGCAGGAGTGAATTCCACGTGTTAACCTAAATATTCCTATCTCAGCCCTGACCTGGATAGCCCAGGCAAGTCAGATCTTGGAAGCTAAGCAGGGTCAACTCTGGGAAGTACTTCGATGGGAGATGACCTTGAGATACCGGAGGCAGGAGGTGGGGGCAGGCTTTATTCAGCCACCTCTCTGAATGTCCTACAGACCCCCAGTAGGGGTCAGTCACCAGAGGTCACACAAGTTATTAAAAATACCAAAAAAATATAATCCTATCTCATGTATCTTCCGTTAGAGGCACTCAAGGCGGCTCAAAAAAAGAAAAGTTGACCTGGCACCCCTGGGAGCTTTGGAGGTGGGGCCAGGCGTGGATGTGATGTCACAGTGAGGTCTCATCCTGCTGAAAATCTAGACGTGACATCAGAGCATCAGCAGGCACTCTGGAAACCACTTGATATTACCCTCGAGTTCTCAGGTGTTCTAATGTCACCTCTGGGGTTTTAGACAGGTGTGATTGTGATGTATCGTTCGACCTCATTTCTCCCCGCCCCCCGGAAGGCTGAACTCAAAGGAGCATGGGAGGGCCCAGCCAGCAGGAGAATGATGCACCTGGGCCTTTGGTCTGATCGAGCAGGGATGCTGTCACCGTTCTGAGCTTTGGAGTCCACACACAATAAATTTCACGTCGCAGTTTGCACACACACACACACACACACACACACACACACCGGTGAGGCTTATAGGAACCTGGTGCTTCCCTTCCACCTCTCCCTCAAGTTGACTCAGAATTGTTACACGTTTTGTTGAGTGTAGACAGGGCAAGGTTTCATAGCTGTGGGAACCAGGGTGCATGAAGCAGGATACAAGCAACGAAAATACAGGCAGTGAACAGACGGTGCTGAGTCGTCTTCTTTGTGGAGGAGTGGAAACGGCTGCTGCCCCTGCAGTCCAGGTAGGGGAGATGAGGAGGGGACCACCTGAGTTCCCCCTCCTTTCTCAGGGGGGCTTTTGCTCCTGCAGTGGCTTCTCAGGCATCCGAGCAAGAGAGCCTCTGAACGCCACGCCCTTGACCCCCGCCAAGCTCTCCGTCCTTCACCCTACCAGGATGACCGTTTCCTGAGTGCAGTCTTGCGTGGCCTCTGATGAGGAAGTCTCCTTTTTTTTTTTTTAGTTTCCAGCTTCCTTTGAGGAGGTGGCTGTGTATTTCAGCGTGGCAGAGTGGGCCCTGCTGGATCCGGGCCAAAGAGCTCTGTTCTGGGAAGTCATGCTGGAGAACTATGGGAGCGTGGCCTCTCTGGGTAAAGATCCTCCTTAGGTGCCAAAGGTTTGAATTGCCGCCATTGTGATGTTGTCTGAATCAAAATATCAAAGAGTAGTATGTAATTGTGGGGCCTGGCCCTGTACTTAACACCCTCTGGATGAGTCCAGGGGCTGAGGTGGTGGTGAAAGCAGCCAACAGACGTGGCTGGTCCAGGGGCAACTGAAGCCACTGCTGTGGCCAGCGTGAAAGGCAGGGTGGGTGTCACGGCCTGAGGTGGAGACGGGCAAAGTCCTTGGGTCATTCTTCCTCCACTTTTCTCTCTCTCTCTCCCAAAGAAGGCACGGGTGTGCGACAGACTGCAGTGGAGACTGACGAAGGGCTGGAGAGTTTCTCAAGAGGATCTCAACAGAATAGTTCCTCCCCGAGTGAACTGGCCGCGAGTGAGTCTGCTTCGTCATCATTATGTCAAGGGAATGGGCAAAGAATAGCCATAGCCAGTTTCTGCTTCCCTTCTTAGCAACTCTTGTTTGGGTAGAATGAAAAAGCCCTCGGGGTAAGGAGGGAGGCCTTTTGAGGCCTGAGATCTTGGGAATTCTTCCTGGGGCTGAGCTCAGTTGTGGCTCTTTTAGAAGAAGAGGAGGAGATTGGATTTATTCCCCACCCTTCGCTATCCAAAGGAGTCTCAGAGCGGCTTCCAATCTCCTTTCCCGTCCCCTCCCCACAACAGACACCCTCTGAGGTGAGTAGGGCTGAGCGAGTTCTCTCGAGAATTGTCCTTGAGAGCACAGCTCTGAAAGAACTTGTGATTGACCCAAGGTCACACCAGCAGTGGCATGTGGAGGAGTGGGGAATCAAACCTGGTTCTCCCAGATTAGAGTCTGCACTCCTAAGCACAGCACCAAACTGGTCTCTTTAGGGGCTGCACTGTCCTTAAATACCAGCTATTCCAGGGAAAGATGATGTATTTACTTAAGAACAGCTTTGCCCGTCAGACTTTTCCTACTGTGCTCAGTTGAATGTCTCCAGGCCTCCCCTCCCTCCCTCCCCCAACAACTGGTATTCCTATGGGAGTTCCCTTAGAATTGTGGGGTTCGCTTGCTGAGGTCCTGACTTCTCCCCTGCCTCAGCCGACGTGTGTTATTGGAGTCTGAAGAACAGCTCCTCTTATCTCTCATCACACCTGGATGGAAATTCTGTACAATTGCAGGAGTAGAAATTACGATCACTTTTTGTATTTCATCATCAAAAGATCTGCATGACAAGGCAAATGGGAAGCGCAGAAAAACAGATGTTTGCCAGCTTTCCCCTTAAAGTACCTTTCGGGAGTTTTATGGAGGGGAGGGAGAGTCACCATATAGAAAAAGCTCTACTGGAAAGGCTGGCCAGTGAAAAGTTCTGACCAGCTGCTCAGGAGGTAAAATGCACACTCATTAATCAGGAGTTCCTGATGGGTGGGTTGGCTCCTTGTGTGAGTGGTGATTGGACCTCCCTCTTTATTCCAGCAGGAGATGTCAAGGAGTCAGTTGCGGAATTTCAGTGGTTCTCATTGGAAAAAGCCGAGAATGAACATGCTGAAGGAAACTTTGGGAATAGAGATGGGCCACAGAAGCAGGAAGGAGGCTGTACGGTGAAGAGGCGGGTGAAGTCTATCCCTCACCAAGAAGAGGGCTTCCATGAAATCCTAGTCCGTAACTGTCTCCAATGGACTCATTCAGGAGTGAAGCCATTTATCTGTTCCAAGAGCAGGATGACGTTCTCCAATAGAAGAAAGGGTAATGTATGTTTTCCAAACCACATGATAATGAAGGCATGTAAATGCTGTTACTGTGGAAAGGACTTCAGATACAGGCCACAGCTTCTTGTACACAAAAAAACACACGCAGCACAGAAGCTTTTTGAATGGTCAGGGTGCAGAAAGAAATTCAGGATGACTTCCAGTCTACAAAAGCACCAAAGAAGCCACTCAGGCGAGAAACCTTTTGAATGCTCAGAGTGTGGAAAAAGATTCAGTACAAGTGGCATTCTTCAACAGCATCAAAGAACCCACACAGGGGAGAAACCGTTTGAATGCTCAGAGTGTGGAAAGAGATTTAGTCGGAGTAGTATTCTTCAACAGCATCAAAGAACTCACAGAGGGGAGAAACCGTTTGAATGCTCAGAGTGTGGAAAAAAATTCAGTCAGAGTGGCCATCTTCAAAGGCACCAAAGAACCCACACGGGGGAGAAACCTTTTGAATGCTCAGACTGTGGAAAGAGATGCAGTCAGAGTGAAGGTCTTCAAAAGCATTACAGCACCCACACAGGGGAGAAACCATTTGAATGCTCAGAGTGTGGAAAGAGATTTAGTCGGAGTGACAGTCTTCAACGGCATCAGCATCAAAGAATCCACACAGGGGATAAACTTTTTGAATGCTCAGAGTGTGGAAAGCGATTCAGTCAGAGTGGTGATCTTCAACAGCATCAAAGAACCCACACAGGGGAGAAACCTTTTCAATGCTCAGAGTGTGGTAAGAGATTCATTCGTAGTTCTGGTCTTCAACTGCACCAAAGAACCCACACACAGGAGAAACCTTTTCAATGCTCAGAGTGCGGAAAGAGATTTGTTCGTAGTTCTGATCTTCAACAGCATCAAAGAACCCACACAGGGGAGAAACCTTTTCAATGCTCAGAGTGTGGTAAGAGATTCATTCGTAGTTCTGGTCTTCAACTGCACCAAAGAACCCACACACAGGAGAAACCTTTTCAATGCTCAGAGTGCGGAAAGAGATTTGTTCGTAGTTCTAGTCTTCAAGAGCATCAAAGAACACACACAGGGGAGAAACCTTTTCAATGCTCAGAGTGTGGAAAGAGATTCAGTAGGAGTGGCGCACTTCAAGTGCACCGAAGAATCCATACAGGGGAGAAACGTTTTGCATGCTCAGAGTGTGGAAAGAGATTCAGTCTGAATTCCAATCTTCGAAAGCATCAAAGAACCCACACAGGGGAGAAACCTTTTCAATGCTCAGAGTGTGGAAAGAGATTCAGTCTGAATTCCAATCTTCGAAAGCATCAAAGAACCCACACAGGGGAGAAACCTTTTCAATGCTCAGAGTGTGGAAAGAGATTCAGTCTGAATTCCAATCTTCGAAAGCATCAAAGAACCCACACAGGGGAGAAACCTTTTCAATGCTCAGAGTGTGGAAAGAGATTCAGTCTGAATTCCAATCTTCGAAAGCATCAAAGAACCCACACAGGGGAGAAACCTTTTCAATGCTCAGAGTGTGGAAAGAGATTCAGTCTGAATTCCAATCTTCGAAAGCATCAAAGAACCCACACAGGGGAGAAACCTTTTCAATGCTCAGAGTGTGGAAAGAGATTCAGTCTGAATTCCAATCTTCGAAAGCATCAAAGAACCCACACAGGGGAGAAACCTTTTGAATGCTCAGTGTGTGGAAAGAGATTCATTCGAAATGTCACTCTTCAGCAGCACCAAAGAACCCACACAGGGGAGAAACCTTTTGAATGCTCAGAGTGTGCAAAGAGATTCAGTACAAGTGGCATTCTTCAACAGCATCAAAGAACCCACACAGGGGAGAAACCTTTTGAATGCTCAGAGTGTGGAAAGAGATTCAGTCTGAATTCCAATCTTCGAAAGCATCAAAGAACCCACACAGGGGAGACCCAGGCCCCAGCAGAGTGAAAGAAGGTCATGTGCCCCTGTTTGCTTCCAGGCAGACCTGGCTCCATTCTCACCACCCTAATAAGGTAAAAGGCCTTCCAAAAGAAAATAGGGAGAGGTAGCATCTGAAAGACCAAGGCATTTTCCCAGAGTAGAAGCTTTCACAGGTCAAAGCTCATTTGGTCAGGCAGAAATTAAAACGAAGATCCATCAGACCTTATGGCACCTCTGCATCCTGACTCCATATGGGCGTTTTTGGCAACCCCCTTTCTGTCTTCTGAGTCAGAGAGAATGGCCTATCTGAGAAAGTGAGCTTTAAATCGTGAGAGCTTAAACCCTGCAAAATTTGTGTGGTCTTGAATGACCTACTTGACTTAAATTCTGCTCTGCTTCTACAGACTAACACGGCAACCCACCAGAGAGGCAGAAACCTGAATAGCTCAATTTATAGAGGAAAAGCCTCAGTCAAATCCATATTCGTTTGGATGAAGATACAAATAGATTCAGAAAGATAGTCCAAACTAAAATGATCATGGGTGGAAAGAATCCCTGCAGTTAAAATGAATGGTTTGCCATAAAAAATTTTCTTTTTCAATTGTTACCGATTAATATACAAAAACTGTGATGGACTGAAAGAAACAAATAAATACATTTATATGGAATGGCAAACAGCTAAGTATTAGATTTAAAGTATTACAGAATGAGAAAAAAGAGGAAGCTTAGCAGTACCTAACATTAAACTATAACACCAAGCAACTGGTTTGGTTATGATTGGATCGATCAAGTTTAACTCTGAGATATCTTTAGATATCTTGTTTTATGATGACTGTCATGTTTTTTTTGAGTTCCGTGATATACATTTTATTGTAAACACTTTTTCTATACATTGTATCTCTAGAAGTGATATTGTGAGGTATGCTTTGGTAGACATTATCTATCTGCTGATTCTGTATATGTGTATGTGTGTGTGTGTCCCTTTTAGAGAGACTTCTTCTGTGTTGGTTCATTGGTTACACCTGTGGAATTGAGGACGATTTCTGAGAGTACATAGAGTACTCTAGTAAGAACCCTATACCTAATTTGAAAACACATGAGAGACACATGCTTGTGGAGGTGAAAGTAGGATCTTTTTGGAGAAGTCTGGAGCTTAATGAATTCTTTACTAACAGATTATCCTCTGGATATCAGATAATTATGGAGGACTTTGTATTTGAATTTTTTCAAGATGGACTTATTTCTGTGTTGAATTGTTTGTATGAAGTATTAGAGTGTTGTGTATTTGTTCATATTCATAATGTAATATAGAGACATAAACCTATAATATACTTTATAAAGTACAATATTTACACATAATCTTTGAAAAATCTTTACTTATCGAGAGCTTCCAGTTTGCCGTGGTTACTTCAGTAGCGTCTCGGGAGTGCTCTTTCGAAGACATGCTGAGCTGCCCTGTTTCTTGGGTTTCTGATACTGTCAAACTTTAAAGGGAGCCTTGTAGGGGGTTCCTGAAGCTTGGGGGTGCCTTTTCAGGGGCACTCCTGTCGGTAGCAGTCAAGAGTTGAGTGTTCTGAAGAGAACCCTTTGCTCCGGCGGGAATGGATGCCATAATTTATGGTTGTAAACTATGTGCTCCAGAATCAACAGCATGGATTTTCAGACTGGAAACTTCATTCTGCCTGCAGTTTCGCAGCAATGAACTGTAAGTTATTGCCAAAGACAACCTCTTTTGACCTTTTCATAATTGCAGTCTCACCTGTAGTGCTTAAAAGGATCTGGAGGGGAGGGGGAGGTTGGCAGACGACCCTCCCCCCAATGGCTCTCACACGAACTTTGAGTGTAGAGACTGAGCTATTTTAATTGGAATACTCTCTGAATATTAAGACACTCAGAAGAGGAGAGTGAACAGAAGCAAGGATTTGTATTTGGGCATTTTGAACATTGCCCTATATTCATTTTATCAGGAATAAACACTTTTCCCCCCGTTCTGAAGATTTTTCACATTATCTACTTTGTTGGGTTACAAATTAATCCCAATTAATTTTGCTGGATGGTTGAATATACCCCTAAGAGCCTCTTTTTCTCTTTTTACATTTTTTGTAAAAAATGTTTTAGCAAGATTTTACTATACTGATATAGGCTTGCTGGGAGATTTCAATGCAGTGTTTGATCAAGATCGGGATAGGAAGACCAATAAGAAGGTTAGAACCACCAAAGGACTTCTTCCAAGATTTTTTCTTGAACTTGTTGAAGAATATAAATTGGTTGATGCTTGGAGAGTAAGAAATCCTACGGGAAGAGACTACACCACCTACTCTGATAGACATAAATCTTGGTCTAGAATTGATATGTGTTGGACTTCAACAAGCTTTTTACAGGATATTAAAGATGTTGATGTTCTGCCCAGATCATATGCGGATCACAGCCCTTTGTTGGTGAAAATAAAGGATGTCCCGAGAAAATTTAGATGGAAATTAAATGTCCAACTGTCGAAAAATGTACATTTTTGGAATGTGTAAAAAAGGAAATGAAGTTGTACTTTCAGCAAAATATGAATATGGAAACCTCAATGACAATTGTTTGAGACGTGAGTAAAGTTTATTTTAGGGGACTGGTGCCCATACAAATGCAAGAAAAGAGACAATGTTATCAAGATATTTTGGACACACTGAAGAAGAATGAGGGGGATTTGAAAATAGAAGCTTCAAATGATAACAAAATCTAAAATTAAGGCTCTTCAACACCAACTTGACGTGTTGCTTTTGGAAGAAATAGCTAAAGATGTGAAATTTGCTAAACAACTATTTTGAGGATGTGAATAAATCAGGGCAATGGCTAGTCTATAAAGTTAGACATGAAAGAGAAAAGAAACCCATCCATTCCTTGTATGACGGTGACAAGAAAGAGAAATTCCAGAAGGAAGAACTAAAGAAAATTGTGCAATCTTTTTATAAGCAGTTACACAGGGAAATGGAAATATCAAAGGAAAACCAAAAGCATGATTTACAGAAACAGGATCTTCCTATACTATCTGAAGAGGACAGGAAATATCTGAATGACCCCATCACGATAATGGAAATCACAGAAGCCATACAAAAGCAAAATATGGGGAAAGCCTCGGGCCCAGATGGGATACCTACAAAATATTATTAAGTACTAGAAGATATTATCCTACCCTATAAGAATATGATTATGCCAGTTATAGAAGAAGGGCTTCTGCCTGAATCTTGGATGGAAGCAACTATCTCATTGATTCACAAAGAAGAAATGGATCCAAAAGAAATTAAGAATTATCGACCTATATCTTTGCTTAACTGTAACTATAAAATTTTTGCATTAATTTTATCTACGAGTGAATTTTTTAATCAGAATTTATACATCAAGACTAAACAGGATTTTTACCAAAAAGCAATAAAGGAACAATGTTAGAATGGTTTTGAATATACTAAAATACTATGAAGCCCACCCTGAGAAACAGATGGCTCTAGTGTTTTGGGATACTAAAAAAGCCTTTGATAATGTTAGCTGGCAGTTTCTTATTGAACAGATGAAAGAAATGTAATTGAAGCTATTTATACTAAACAGAAAGTGAGGATAGCTGTAAATGGTGATTTGACAGATATTATTTGGATTGAAAGGGGGACAAGACAAGGATGTCCTTTGTGACAGAACGGGCCCGCGTCAGCTGGCCGACCCCACTCTGCCCACCCCTCCTTTGCCTGACCTGGCACCTGAAGGGGCAGTTTTTCACCACTACCTCCCCCTCCTTAGATTCTGAGTTGGAGGGGTATCCTCATCCAGAGGTAACCCCATAGCAGAATCCAATTAACTTGGGAAAAACCCATTAACAACATAACATGTACAAGGCTCAGGAAATTCCCCAACATACAAAGTCTGACACCCTAGGTGTCCATGTCCTTTCTGGACAGAAAGTCTGCAATCACATCGTGGCGTCCAGCAATGTGCACGATCTTCATGTTGTATTCCTGAATCCTCCAGGACCAACTCTGCAACTTAGAATTGGTGTTCTTCATGGTCTGCAACCATTGCAAAGAGGAGTGGTCAGTCAGGAGGGTGAACTCTTGTCCCCACAAATAAGGCCGAAGTTTGTCCAAAGCCCATACAACTGCCAAACATTCCTTCTGCACTGAGGACTCTTGGGGGATGAGCTTCCTACTCAGGTAGGCTACAGGATGTTTGGTCCCTTCCCAGTCCTGCATCAGAACAGCTCCAATCGCATGGTCTGAGGCATCTGGCAACAAAGAACCTCTCCTCAAAGTCAGGAGCTCTGAGTACAGGCATAGAAACCAGAGCTGCCTTCAGCCGCTCAAAAGCCTCCTGGCAGCTAGGAGTCCTAGCCACCTTGTCTGGTAAATGTTTCCTGGTGAGAGAGGAGAGTGGGTCTGCAATAGTTCCAAAATTAGGGACAAACCGTCTGTAGTAGTTAGCCAGTCCTAAGAAGGCTCTGACCTGCCTTTTAGTCTTTGGGGCCTCCCACTTTTGGATAGCCTCCACTTTGTCCCACATTGGAGTGATTCTCCCACTCCCCGCCTTATGTCCAAGGTACACCACCTCTGGCATATCAAATTGGCATTTGTTCAGCTTGATGGTGAGACCTGCTTTGCGGATGGCCGCTAACACTTTAGCTAAATGTTCCAAGTGCGAGTCCATGTCCTTGATAAAAATGGCAATGTCATCAATGTAAGCCACCGCACAATTCGACATGCCACTTAACAAATTGTTCACTAGCCTTTGGAAGGACGCCGGGGCATTTCTAAGGCCAAAGGGCATCACCATGAACTCGTACAGTCCATCTGGGGTAATGAAGGCTGATTTAGCCCTTGCCTCAGGCTCTAGTTCCATCAGCCAATAACCTTTGCACAAATCCACAGTAGATATCACCCTGGCTGAACCTAGCGTATCTAGCAGGGCATCTATCCTGGGCATAGGATAGGCATCCGGTTTTATGATACTATTTAACTTTCAGTAGTCCACACAAAACTGAATTGAGCCATCCGGTTTGGCCACTAGCAC